AAATGATTATTAGGTGATATTTTGCCCAATTATATGACAATAAAACTGACAATCTAAGTGAAGTATATTAATATTTAGAAAAATATAAATTTCCCAGATTAACAGAAGAGGAAATAAAATACTTAAATAACTTCCTTAAAATAAAACTTGAAAAAGCCATTAATGAGCTCCCTAAGAAAACATCCTGGAGACTAAATGGATTTACAAGTGAATTCTAACAAACATTTATTGAACAACTGATCTCAGTACTATATAAAACTCTTAAAAATGGGTAAAGAAGGAGTCCTACTAATACCTTTTATGAGACAAATATAATTTTGATATCTAAACCCTGGAGAGCAAAAATAGTGAAAGAAAACTATATGTTATTTTCTGCAATGACTATCAATGCATAAATTTTAAATAAAATTCTAGCAAGTGATTACAGCAATCTACCACAAAGTTCATACTGTCTGACCAGGTTGGATTTATAGCAGGAATTCAGGGGTAGTTCCATATTGGGAAAACTATCAACATAATTGACAATATCAATAATAAAAACAACAAAAATCATATGATTTTCTCAACAGATGTAGAAAAAGATTTTAACAAAAAAAAACCCATTCTTTTTTTGCATATTCTATTCGTTTTTTTGTTTTTAGTTTTCAACATTCACTTCCATAAAATTTAGAGTTCTAAATTTTCTCCCCCTCCCTGCCCTCCCACCTCTCTGAGATAGTGTGCAATCTGATACAGGCTCTGCATATACATTCATATTAAACATATTTTCATATTATTCATGTTATAAAGAAGTAGTAGAACCAATGGGAGAAACAACAAGAAAGAAGAAAGAAATAAAACAAAAGAGAGCAAATAGACTTTGATCTGCATTCAGCCTCCATAGTTCATTTTCTGCATGTGGATAGCATTTGCCGTCATGAGTCTTTTGGAGATGTCTTAGATACCTGCATAGCTGAGAAGAGCTAAGTCTATCACAGTTGATCATTGTACAGTGTTGCTGTTACTCTGTACAATGTTCTCCTGGTTCTGTTCATTTCACTCAGCATCAGTTCATATAAGTCTTTCCAGGTTTTTCTGAAGTCTGACTGTTCATCATTTCTTATGGAACAATAGTATTCCATTACATTCATATATCACAAGTTTTTCAGCCATTACACAATTGAAGGACATCCCCTCGATTTCTAATTCTTGGCCACTACAAAAAGAGCTGCTATAAATGTTTTTTTGTATATGTGAGCCCTTTTCCCATTTTTATGATCTTTTTGAGACACAGACCTAGACATGGTATTGCTGGGTCAAAGGGTATGTACAGTTTTATAGCTCTTTGGGCATGGTTCCAAATTGCTCTCCAGAATGGTTGGGTCAGTTCATAACTCCACCAACAATGCATTAGTGTTCCAAATTTCCCACGTCTTCTCCAATGTTTATCATTTTCCTGTTTTGTCATGTCAGCCAATATGATAGGTGTGATGTGGTACCTCAGAGTTGTTTTGATTTGCATTTCTCTAATCAATTGAGATTTAGAGCATTTTTATATGACTATAGATGGCTTTAATTTCTTCATCTGAGAACTGCCTGTTCATATCCTTTGACCATTTGTCAATCAGGGAATGACTTTTATTCTTGTAAATTTGACTCAATTCTCTATGTATTTTAGAAATGAGACCTTTATCAGAGACACTTGCTGTGAAAAGTGTGTCCCAGTTTTCTGCTTCCCTTTTAATCTTGGTTGTATTGGCTTTGTGTGTGCAAAAACTTTTCAATTTAATGTAATCAAAATTGTCCATTTTATATTTCATAATGATCTCTATCTCTTGTTTGGTCATAAATTCTTCCCTTCTCCATAAATCTGGCAGGTAAACTCTTTTTTTAAAATTTTATTTTATTTTATTTTTAGTGAGGCAATTGGGGTTAAGTGACTTGCCCAAGGTCACACAACTAGTACGTATCAAGTTTGGTCTGAGGCCGAATTTGAACTCAGGCCCTCCTGACTTCAGGGCCGGTGCTTTATCCACTGCACCACTTAGCTGCCCTGCAGGTAAAGTCTTTCTTGCTCTCCTAGTTTGCTTATAGTATCAGCCTTTATATCTAAATCATGTACCCCATTTTGACTTTATCTTGGTATACCATGTAAGATGTTGTTTTATATTCAGTTTCTACCTTGGTCTATACTTAGTTTCTTCCATGGTCTATGCCTAATTAACCCCCATTCTTTTTAAACATACTAGACTGAATAAGAATCAATGAAACCTTTTAATAAGTAGTATCTATCTAATACCAAGAGCAAGCTTTATCTCTAATAGGAATAAACTTGCCTTCCCAATAAGATCAGGAGTGAAATAAGGATATCCCTTATCAATAGTATTATTCTCTATTGTACTAGAAATGCTAGCTATAGTAATGAGAGAAGAAAAATAAATTGAATATGACTTAGTGGCAACATTTAACCTGAGTTCTTTAGGATATTGCCTGACTACTGAGAGATGTTTTTTAACCAAAATAAAGTAGCCGAAATTATATGCTATAAATTTACTGCTGAAAATTGATACAGTTCATGGTGTTTGAGGAATCATAATGGTCATTTGGACACAATTTTATTTTTATTTATAATTTAGAATCACTCAAGTTGTCATTTTACCAATGCTATCAGCTTTCCCCTGTCCCTGAAGAATAGTGTCTAATGTTCACTGCTACTAGATTATATTTAACAATTAGAAATTGTGTTGGTTAGCTTTTTACAACCCTCTATAACAGTTAACCACATGGAAGCCACTATTTCCTTTTGTTTTGACTTTCCCATCATGCAAATGTCTCATGATAACTTCAAATATTACTTTTCCCACCTCTCTACAGCTTTAATAATTCTAAGGATGAAATTTGTAAAATGCCTTCATTTTTGTAGACACTTCTATAGCATCCAGAAAATAGTCTTTACATGAAATAAATTCTACAAAGAGATAACATTTTTTCATTATCAAACTAAAATTTTTGAAATTTTACTTACTGAAGCCACAATTGTCCCTGGATGAACCTTGGGGGAGGGGGCAGGTTGTCTCTTCTTCCCAAATGGTGAGATAAGAAACATATACCCAAGGGTCACTGATGTATGCACTGAATAAATAAGCTTCCTTCCCTCTCCTTTCTGACTAAGCCAGAGCTTGGGCCCTAGCAGCCTAGATCTCTGTAGAAAGAACTCCAGGAAATAATCTGGCTGCTTTTCTATCTGGAGCCTGTGCTTTCATCCCCTCTTGCAACCTGGTCACCAGTTCTACCAATAGTATTCTCATCTCAATTCTAGGGTCTAAATTCCACCCCTCTGAATATACCCTTGCCTTCTTCCTTAAAGGAATACTAAGACATACAACCCCTTGTTAGAATCCCTTTAGATCTCTACCTAAAGGCAAATTTCCCTATCTATAAGAGTTGAAGTTAGTCAAGTATTAATTAATTGTTTATTATTTGATGGGTGCTAATCTAAACACTGGGGATACAAAGAAACTTAAAACACATACACATACATGAGTTCCTGCTCTCAAGCAGTTCACATCCTAATGGTGGAGAAAATATGTGAATATCTATGTATGTATAGTATCATATACATATATATGTATATATATGTATATTTATATGGAGAGAGAGAGAGAGAGAGAGAGAGAGAGAAGGAAATAATTTAAAAGAAGTAGTTATAGCACCTGAGGGAAAGCAGGAAAAGCCTCATTACAGAAGGTGGGATTTAGATGAATCTTAAAGGAAGCCAGGGAAATAAGAGGAAGAGGTAATGGTAGAAAACAATCTAGTCATGGGGTATAGCCTGTGCATAAGCACAAAGATGAAAGAAGTATTGTATTCAAGTAACGGCAAGTAGGCCAAAGTAGTTGTATTATAGAATGTCTAGAAAGAAATAAGGTGTAAGAAGGCTGGAAAGGTAGGAATGGGCCAGGGTATGAAGAGCTTTAAATGCCAAACAGACTTTTATTTATTTTTTTTATATTTGATCCTGGAGGTAATAGGATACATTGAAATTTTTTGAAGCAAGAAAGTGACATGGTCAGACCCATACTTTAGAAAAATCACCTCGGCAAATGAATAGGGAGAGATATGGGACAGGAAGAGCAGTTAAAAGGGTATTGCAGTGGACCAAATGAGGTGATGAAGGCCTGAGTTAGGGTTGTGCCTATATAAGTAAAAAGAAGGGGCCTTTAAAAGGTGATATTTGAAGGTAAAAATGAGAAGATCTTATAATGGATTGGATATGTGGGCTGAGCAGCACAAAGGAGTTGAGTACAGCACCAGGGTTGTGCCACTAGGTGACTAAGAATATGATGATACCTTTCATAATGACAGCATGGAAATCAGCCCTTTATCAGATACTTCATGCTATTTCTCATCAAGATATGATTAGATACCAACTAAAAAGATTATACTACATAGCACAGGGGGTTCAAAATGACAAATACAGCAAGCTTAACCTCATATCTCAATAATACAATAGTGCTATATGAACCACATCATTAAAATCCATTTGGATGTTTATTTATTTTTGGACTGCAACAGCTGTGCACATAATAAATTGCTTAAAGTTCAGTTTTCTATCATCTTGAGACCTGGATTGTGCTTTGTTGCTCTTCTGCAATGACAGCGTTATTATCGTCCTACCAATAGCTTAGCACTACTTGGCAAGAACATGACTATACATCCCAAATGGAACTGAATCACATCTTTCCAGCACTGTTTACTTAATACTGAGAGTGAGGACAGAGGACTTACAGAGTCCTCAGACCAAATGAGAGCAACATCTAGACAAAGGCAGATAACAAACAAGCATCCAAAACATCTATAAAAAGTTATTCTTTTCAGCTTCTTCCTAAAAATAAAAGATCCAGAACACATTCTCATTAAGATAAGGTAACCTATTCAGTACAGTATCTTAATCCATCTGAGCCATTGTTTTGGAAGCAGCTCAATTTCCTCAAGCTGGAAAAATGGCAGTAATTGCTTACCTGACTCACAGGCAAATGTCTTTGACGTCTCATCGTGAAAGATAATTGCCACTGCATGCTTCTTGGTCTCTCGAGGCAGTCTGGTTATGTTTTTGATGTTGTGCAGTTCAGTTACCTTGAAAGAAAGAAACATATATTTTAAACCAAGGAGATAATATAAATTTTTAATGAATAATATGTAACCAAAATATTCCATTTTCACTTTTTAATCACTTCTAAAGGATGCTTGTATTTAGTTTTTGTTGTCATTTCATTAATTTTTAACCCTTAGATTTCCCTCAATGTTAACATGCCTTTGGCCTTAAGATTTCCTATTTTTCAAGACTTTTGAATAAACTTGAACAGTCATATAATTGACCCTCCTGGCTCCTTGCAGCTTTACATAAGGAATAACAAACAGCTTTGTGATTAAAAGAAAAGAGAAAAAAATGAAACAAACATATCTAGAGGAGATTTTACAAACTTCTCAGTTAATACATCTTTGCTTATAACCTTTAACTGCAGTAAGTTCTTGCTACCAGCAAATTAAAACCCTATTGATATTATAATGCATACTAAATTTCTTTTGGTACTATGTGACATATACGTAGAAAATATCTGGTTTTCATCTTTCTCCTCATGGGATGTGTCATCCCTAGGGTACTACAACTTTCTCTTAAGGAAGTAGCTTGGAGGTTCTGCACTCAACCTCCTTGTTGTTCAGGGGTTAGCACTACATCTATCATAGGCTAGGTGAGAGACCACCTTATCTCAGAGCAAATTGTGTTGCTGGGCAACTATATTCCCACCCCTATATCTCATTAGCTCTCTAGCTGTTGGGCATGTATATTCTGCAAATGTCCATGGCCAGTGGGTACAGTGCCCCCTGTCACTTGCCACTTGTGCCACAATGGCTCCTGAGATGAAGGGAATGACCTGGATCCCCTTTCAAGCCCTCTGCTGCTTTACTTAAAGTTTAATTTTTAATCTTTCATTTGAGAGGAGACAAGTGAAAACAAATCTATAAATATATATTACATGAAGAGAATTCTTATTCACTACTTATTAAGTTTTATTCTTTTCTTTAGATATATATTTAGCAAATATATTCATTGATTAATAGATTTTTTTCCCTTCGTTCCATGAATTTCAATTAAATGCAATACACATTCTTTAAACCTCTACTAAGTGCAAAGCACTGTGTTTGACACTAAAGGTAGATATTAAGTTTAGATGAGACATAGTTTCTGTTCTTTTGAAGTTTATAGTCCAGTAATAATAGAATAATTATTGAACTTAATTGGAAAATTCTTATAAGCAATATAAATTAATTAGTCAAAGAACTTAAAACCACTGAATAATTGCTAATCATATATAGCTTTACCAATATGTCTTGCTAATATATCTGCAACAAAAGTTAAAGAGTTAATAGTAAAAATACTATCATCCTTATAAGCATTTATTGAACAACTCTTTGAGCAACATTATATCAGAGAATCAATAGTTACAGTTTTAAGAGACTTAGAGTTGATCTAGACCAATCCTACAATAGGCAAAAATTCCTATTACAATATGAAGAATCATCCCCCAGCCTCTGCTTTAAGAATTTCAGTGCTAAAGGATTCATTCACTATTTCATGGTAGACTGTTAAAGCTTTGGATACCTCTAAAGTTTTTCCTTGTTTGAAGCTGAGATCTACCTGTTAACAAATCCCATCTATTATTACCAGTTTTTCCTTCTGGGAAAAAAAGCAGTAAGTGCTTAATTTCTCATCAACATGATAGGTCTTCATACACTTGAAGATAACAATCTTTTCTCCCCTCAATCTTCTATTCTCCAGGTTAAAGACCCCTAGTTCCTGCATCTGATTGTTGTATGGTATAATTTATTGTTGCTTTACTATACTGGTTGGCCTTTTCTAGATATATTTCATTTTGCCAGTCTTCTTCCAAAAATGCAGTGCACCAAAATGTGGTTTGTGGCCTAATCATGCAGAACAGAACAAACCTATATGTGCTTTCCTTCTGATTAGTATGTTTATGCTAATATAACACAAGATTATACCACTTTTTCTTTGCATCCAAATCACACCATTGATTAATATTCAGCTTGTAGTTCACTAAAATCACCAGATTTTTTCATATAACCTAGAGCCTTACCATATCTTCTTGCTTTCTGTATTTGTAGTTGATTTCTCAAAAAAAACTCGATGGAGGATGTATATTTAGTCCTTATTAAATTTCATTGAAGAAGATTTAGTTTATTATGCTAGCTAGTTGAGACATTTTGGGATAGAGATTCTGCCATTCCAACATGATAACTATTCTTCTTACTTTTGTGTCATTAAGATATTTGATAATCAAGACATTTATAACTTTTTGCAATTATTGATTATGCAATCTGTGGTTCAAAGTCTATTTCCATATGACTCTCCTCAGTGGTAGAAAGTGATTGATTACTGAATGTTCTATGGGGGAATGTGGTTAGTGAAAGCCTGAGAGAAGAGAGAGATTCTGGTCTGCTGGATTCCAACTTTTAGAATGAAGACATGTGGTTTTAAATTCTCTTTAGGTTACTGAAGGAAACAAAGACTCTTGGAAGAAGCCAATATGTAGAAGAGCTGGAACCTCAATCATGCCCTTATCCCCATCTTACTTCACTAGAGACTTTGGGGAATTTTCCCTGCAGTGAGATTTGGGTGAGATCTTTTTATGTCTCTGTGTATCTGGCTGTCTTTCTGTCTGTCTGTCTGTGTCACTGTGTGTTGAGCTAAGATATTTTGTTCCTAATGAGAGACACAGCTCATTTACTCTGTACATTCCCCAATACATTCTCATCTCTGTACCTTCTCTGATTTCTGTTTGCTACGTGACACAATAAATTATTTCATTTCATTGGAGTCAACCCTTGAATATACATCTTGGGGGCACTTCCCCATTAAGGGACAGTGATCAGAGGCTCAGCTTGAATCCCAAAATTATTTCTCCTAGAAATAATATTTTTGGATAGTAGATATATAATCTATTCTGGTATTCCCTATTTATAAGGAGAACAGAGTGGCCAGCCTCTGGCTCCAACCTCCTACCTTCTTTCCAGTCAGGAATCAAAACCTCTCTTCAAGAAGGGTAGATAAAGGAAACTCTAGAAATATCTATTAAGACCTCCCTGAAAATCATCTCTGGAAAGTCTTATGAATATATTCATAACCTATTTGGGCAACACACAACACTCACCAACCTCTATTATTAAAAATGTTGACTATAATAGGGCAGAGAGAGAACTCTGAATCACTCCACTCAGCATATCCATCTAGGCTGATATCAATTCATAATCACTATTCCTTACATCTAATTATTCAAACAGCTTTGAATCAACTGAATGTAGAACCTTCCTACCCACACCTCTCTAGGTTGTTTACAAAGATGTTGAGAAGTTAATCAGTCTTCCACCTTTTTTAAGCATCTTTTTTATGCTACCATATACCAGGATTTTACAATTGAAGGAAAATAATAATGTCACAGTTAGAGATATAGAGGAATATACAATTAGTAAGTTATATTTTGATAAGGATATTGGCAAGTTCACTTAATGGAGCAGAAAGTAAAGATATGCATATCAAGGGTAATTAAAATTATCCAATTAGGGAAGGGTTTTAAGAGGTAGTAGAATTTAAGATGCAGGGGTAAAAGACGGAGAAACTTTAGAAAACTTGGATAAGGAGACCCTTTTTTTGTGAGGCAATTGGGGTTAAGTGACTTGCCTAGAGTCACACAGCTAGTGAGTGTTATGTGTCTGAGGTCAAATTTGAACTCAGGTCCTCTTGACTCCAGGGCTGATACTCTTTCCACTGTACCACCTAGCTGCCCCAAGGAGACACTTTCAATAAGAATGTGGAATGTGGGATGTGGGAGAAGTATTAGCTCAATGAATGGAATGAGATGAAGAAATAGTGAGGAACTTTTAGTAGAAAAAGGCTAAGGGCAGTGTCTGTTGTTATCATCTGACCAGTAGTGCCAGTGCAAGTTACCCAGACAACGTTGTCAAGCTGGGGCATAAAGGGCTAGAAAGGTAGGGAAAAGCAGTAGTATGAACAAAACAAAAGAAAAAAAAAGGCATTCTGTATATCCCAAGGGAGTGTTCAGAAAGTATAAAGAGCAACTTCAGGAACTGAATCAAATCGTGTTGCTAATGACAATGAAACTCGAAGAAGTCTTCTGTCTTATGAGGCAGGAATGTCTTGACAATAGCTGTTCACATAGTGAACAGCTGCCTAGTGTTCTCATTGTATTTCTAACTATATCAGTTCAATGCTATCCTTAATTTAGCTGTGCTATGTTTGGTCAGCACCTTTAGGACCAAAGGGCATTTGATGGTTTCTGAGCAGGCTTCCTCAGCATCAGTAACAGAAGTACTTTCTCCATGGGCAGATGTCTGATCACATCGATTCTTATTGGAAACAGACAGAGAAAGAGGGTAAATGTTGTCCAGGATACATTGATGAACAACTTTGAAGTGGAAGGTAAGGATTTTGGTTTATATTATAATCTGTTAGAAAGCAACATAAAGTCCTTAAGAAGTGTCTTTTATAGTCAAGGTGAAAGGTAGAAAATATAATTTTGACTGCTGCACTGAAGATTTATAAGAATGGGCCATGGAAATTTGGAGAGAAATTGAGGAATGAGTAGGGGATGGACATTGGAAGTAATTGCACAGACAGAGAAAAACAGTATTCAGGAAACATTCCTTTAAATTAGAATGATTAATAAAACAAATTAGATGGTGTGAAGAATGGAAGATAGTAATAATTTTGAGAATAACTTCAAAGCAAGGTTTTAGTTTTATTTTTTGTTGTGGCAATATATGTTACAATGCTACTACCCATAAATAACTTAAAAAGAGGAAGAATCATACCAGGTGTCTCTGCCATTTTAGGTTTGGAATTTGTAATGAGACAGCCTGATTGAGTTGACTAACTGACAGAAAGGCTTGGCGCAAAAGTGAAGAAAACATAAGCTTGGACAGGTGGCTGGCTTCATCATTGGTCCCCTCAATCCCTCTTACTGGGAAAATTTCAGGCTAATCATTTTTAAAAAGTCATTTTTTTTAACCACATATAATGCCATACATGGTTGAGA